GACCTTAAAAAACACAGACGTTCTTAGATACTTTAAACTGATAGTTCAGTCAGAGCATGGTGCTGCTGCAGAACACTTTCACAAATTTGCGTGGAACACAAACCCTCACCCATTTTATCAGAAAATATGATCAGTGTTCAATTAAGGATATCATTTTCAAAGTACCATTCAAAACAACACTTCAGTCATTTCGTAATGGAAAAGGAAGATGTTTCATTTCAGAATAAAACTTTTCATTTCATCAGAAATAGTTACTTTGCCTAGTATCTTACTAGTGTATAAACAGCACATCTGCTTTATTGGCACCATTTTCATTTGCTTGAAACTAAAAAGCACAATTCTTTGATGTGTATTATACACAAACATCAAACACATTCATCTCCATTACCACTGACACAGAATGATTCTTTTTCTGCATAAAATGGGACATGTTATGTCATTTCTTGGCATATACATATGTTTGGAAGTAGAGTACAAAGGCAATGTCTCTAAAACGAAGTGTTGTTTGATCATAATGAGGTGTTTGTGTCAAGTTGTGGCAGTTGCAGTGATTTTGTTTTTACCTTTTGTTTTAGTATTTCAGATGAAGTTGACTAAGAATGCATGCTCTTTTTCAGCGCCGCCCTGCTTCATAGTTAAGTTATGTCCACTGCAACTTCTGTCTCACCCTCACTGTAAAGTGTAAGGTTGCCACTGAAGGTGTCAACATGTGTAAAACATAATCAGTGTATTAAAAAGGTTCTTCACTCATGAAACTTTTGGGCACTAGAATTTTGAAAAACTGAAATGTCTACAGCATTCTCACAGTAAGGAGGCTTGTGTGACACCATCTTAGTTAAACAATATAAAGGGACCTGCTGAAACCAACTGCTTGCTTCAGGCAAAGAAAACAAGGACACTCTTTTCAAATCACTTAAATCAACACTGACATGAATGCATGTGGTTCACACTTTGCTGACTCTATGCTACATTGCCATTCCTTGCACTGGGCTGGGATACATACCGAACGCTACGTTTGTGCACTTTCAAAAATATCTCCAATAGCCAGAAACAACACATAAGTGTTTACCTGACCTCATATCTTTTACAAAACTAAGGTGATGAAACTGTGGGGTGAGACCTGAATAAAAAGTGGAAATGGAAGTGAAAATCTGAAATGATTTCCTGTGATAAGGTTACATTCTGTGGGTTTGTACTGTCAGTCTGAATGACACTGGGATGTAAAAGGTCAAACTCTGTTGAGAAAACAGAATGAAAGGAATGCATCTTTGAAAGATTCAGCTTCCCATCTTGCATTAAATGATTTTATGATGTGTTAGAGAAGAACTGAGTCACCTTCAGTCTTTATATGCAGTCAAAGAGAAACTAAGATGAACTTCACCAATGATGCAGTTAAAATATAATTTTCTAGCATCGACCCACTATATAGCTCTTGTTTGTTGTTTATGTACAAACCAATGTAGTTCTGTACTGTGGCAGTAGCACCAGAAATGTTGTAGTTGTATGGTGCCACTATGAACAAGTTGGTGATACAACAGGCACTGGCTGTGTACCAGCTCAATTACCAAAGTCCCTATAATCCCAGTAAAGAACACTGGAATTAGACCCTAATGAGGATTCTGACTTTAATGCAATGGATATTAGTGCATGTGTACTGACCACATTTTTTTAAAAAGTAGTGTATACACGTAGGGATAAAAATGTCATCAATGTTGTCCTATCTGTTGCTTAGGCCGTGCAGATTAGGGAAAGAGCAGAAGATGTGAAATAGCTTGTCAGTCAGTATAAAACAATTGTTATTAATTCCACTGAGCACAGAGGGTGCCATATATTCATTATGCAACAACAATGAACATGATCATATGTACAAAGATCACTTCTCTTGCAACACTATCTCACTCCCAACATGTCACATATTGACTCTTGGTCAAGACCCATTGGCATTGCTTTTTAACTCCCTGGGTACCCCGTCATTTTAGCACAGGTAGGGTCAAGGTAGCAATAATAAAAAAGCAACGTCTAGTTAGACTTTCAAAATAAAGCTATTGGTTAACATTGTGAAACAACATGTCGTTAACGTTGTGACACGTCAAAATACGTTACTTAAATGACTTTTTGTTTCACACAGAAAAACCAGTATCCTGATTGATTCTTACTTTGACTTTTCTGTTATAAACTACACCTACTTTTAGCTTTCAAAAATGACACTAAAAGGTTTCCCACAGTGACTTGACCATGCGTCCATATGTGACGACTTGGGAGTGAGATTGGGTTGTCCACCATTACAATAGAAACTTTGATTTAACATGTACAATATGTGTATAATTGTTTTTTAACCTCTGTTAGGACAACTTTCATTTTGCAGGGCTCTGTAATGACTATTACAGAGGTGGCAATGACGCATTAGATTTGCATTGTGACACGTCCATCAGTGTGTTCAAAGTGTCCCTGAGCAAGACACTTAACTCCTAGTTGCTCCAGAGGTGTATATCAATTTTGTTTGCTTTCTTTGCCAGTGCGTCTTGAGAGGCATTCAACCCACATGCAGTGTTTGATTCATACTTACATAGTGCCTTTGTAGTCTTCTTCTGACCAGTCTTCTGAAACGTATATGTAACAATTGTAAGTCACTTTGGATAAAAGCAAATGTAATGTAAATGTAAGTATGCTGAACTAAAATGATAAACACGCCCGTCCAATGGAATGGACTTTAGTCATCACAGTGTGAAGAGAGAAAAAAATGCATTTCCCTTCTCTCCTCTGCATTAAATATATGGAGAATCATGCTTATGCAATGAGAAATCCATTCTCGGAGCTGTTAATTACATGTTATATCCGGTGTGTATCGTTGGCTGTGTGGTTTCCCTTCAGAATAACCCAAAGACTAGTCATATGGAAATGAAATGTTGTCCGTGAAAAGATGAATAAATAGGTTTCGGGATGGCCTAATGGTTTGACATTTCCATGACCAGTTTAATCCCCACAAACGCCAGTACTGTGATGTTGTTCACTTTGATGTGGGTTTCACTGTCTTGTCAGTCATTTTCATTTAAATGTGTGTATTCTACATTGACAACATGCAACTACAGTAACACAGGCAAAAGTTTTCTAGAAGTTAATGGCTAATAACTTTGTAGCCGATTCTATTGCATCAGTCGCTTGTCTTTCTTTCAAAAGACAGTTGTATTGATTTAATAAGAGACACTGCTTTAACCTGAAGTAACCTCCATGAAAGTTCAATTATCATATATTATATAAAGAAAGTGTTTCAGTATCAGTTTTGGGTGGAGCAATGTTATGACTGTAATGCATCAGCAACCCTGTTGAACCTCTGCTGTGGCTGCATCTGCGCTAATTAAAGCTGAAAAGCAAAGTTCCTTGTAAGTAAAATAACCCACATGACTAGTTTTAAAGAACTGTGGTGAATACAACACAAAGGATGTATCCTCCATTTGTCTCTCTTTACTTGTCTCTCAAAACCCAAATACAAATATACACATCCACACTCCAGTTTGCTCTATTTGTATCTATTTTATTACTTTGCCATTTTCCTCCATGTTGACTTTGTAATGTCTTTTGTGTCATTATTTGTTACCATGATTATGTGGTGAGACAATGTTATAAGCCCCTCAGGATTTCTATTTCCCCTGCGTATTTGTGCTTCATGCCACATTTCATTATCTCTGTATTTTATCACCTGTATAAACAAGTTGACAGCAACCAGAATATTGACAGAAATCACTGTATGAAACCTGTCACATTTCTTATTTGACACTCATTTACAGCTTATTTATATCTCCTGGTTTTAGCACAGGGTGCAATGTGAAAGTCAAATTCTTGACCTCACTAAAAGAGAGCTAATTTTATTTTCTGCAGTGACAACACATGCTTGAGTAGTCACCAACGTTCATTTGCATATTAATTTGAAGACAGATGCTCCATGGTCTTTCTGCTGTATGAACAGAGCCCCGAGTTGGTCTGCGCTCATGCCAGTCCAACTGGAATTGTGTTTACCAAACTGTATCTTTACAAACAGAACACAGATTTCTTTATTTGGAGGAATTAGGTGTTAGCTCATCTTGTTTCCATGTTGAATTTCTGAACAGCTTTAATTCGCCAGACTTCATAGATTTTTCCTTCAAACTTAAATAGACAGCGGCGTTGCATTTCAGTTGATAATATACAGTGGCTTATTTTGTCCTTCTGTGTGTCTGTAACCTAAATTGAACTGCCTGTGCTGTGGATGAGCACATTAAAGCCGGACTTAATGCTGATGTAAGCACTATAATCAAGTTCAAAATGATAGGATTCTATCTTGTGTTCATTTCAAGACAATATTGGACTATTCCTTTTTTCTGCTTCATCTCACATGAGGCACAGCTGATTTTGATCATTTTCATTACAAGCTGACACCGCATCCATTTATTAGAATCAGTCCCGAGCTGCTATTTACATACCATTTACCAGCAGTGGAGGAAGAATACAGATCATTTACTTTAGCAAAAGTAGCAAGACTGCAAAATAAAAAAGCTCTATTGCATATTATATAATTGGATTAATATTACTCATACATTAACATGTTAATAGCATTTTACTGTTAGGTTGTAGCGAATTTTAATTATTTTGTATGCTACTGGGACATACTGTAACGTTATCATGTTTTTGAAATCGATTCTATGTTTTGTTTGTCAACGCTTTAAAAAGTAACAGCAAAGTAACAAGTAACTAATGTTATTAAGTAAATCCATCATGTAGTAAAAAGTACAATATGTACCTTGAGTAGAATTATAAAGTAGCATAAAATAGAGTTGTAGTAGAGTAGTAGTATTCAAGTAAAGTACCCCAGATTTGGACTACAGTACTGTAGTAAATGTATGAATTTTGACTTGTAATAGAGAAATGAAAAAGTCTGAAGACACTATGCCTTTTTTCTCACTCCACTTTTGTCTATGTCTCTCCCCCTCCTTTTCCCATTTCTCGCTTCCTTTGATTTTCTCCAGAACTTATTACATTAGCGTCTGACTGTGCCACATCATGCTGTGGATGAAGTGGAAGATGGTGGTGGACTCCCTGCGTGGACGGAGAAGGAGGATGCCCTGTTCCCTCTGGTTCCTCCTGCTGTTCGCTGCTGGAGGTCTGGTTCTGTTCATCCACCAGGAAGATCTATCAGAGATGGTCCAGCAACAAGGCCCAGGTTAGTCTCTACTTGCCCTACAAAACCCTAGGTTTCAACCAATAAGGCTTTCTGAAGGCTTGTACTTGTACTGACACTTTTCTAAATGGCATGGATATTTTGTTCTAGTATTAACCTTCTTAACTACGGCCAGTTTTTAAGATTTGCTTACAATATACAATATAACAATATAATATAGGGTTGAAAAGGTCTCTTAAAAAGTCTGAGGAGAAAATACAAAGTCAGTTTTGATAAACATTTCAAATTTAAGTATTCAGTTAAATTTTCTTGAAGGCAGATACATTATCATGTATAACATGTTTCCAACATAATTCACACAACTCTTTCCAAAATTGCAAAATTGTAGATTTCTTTTTTAATCTTAACACAAAAAAAACTAATAATGCCATTTAAATTTTTACATACTGTAGAAGTAAAATATAGATGATTTAAAATACAAAAAAAACAACCAAATCAAGCAAATTAAAAAGGTGAAATATAATATACAAGGCAATATGGATTTCCTTTTTGTGTATGCATTTACTGCATCATAATTAAAAGAAAAACAAAAGTAAAAAGCTAAATTGTGTTTATCTTTATAAACCAAATTGTTTTTCATAGTGGCATGAATTTTCAATGCCGCATTTAATGCAGAAAACAGAGCAGCACAACAATCTTTTTTGAGCATGTCTGCATGCTCATCAATATCTGTTAACTCTTTACTAAACAAATTATCTCACATTAACAAAACTGACAACATTGCAAGTAGGAAATATTTTGCTGAAAAATAAAATAAGTTTCGATTGATAGAGGAAGGCTGAGTTTTGTTTTGTATTATGATATAGTGTTAATGTATAATTTAACAGGCCAAAGCCTGAGTGGGTTAGCCATAGGTCTGCATCATTGCAGCTAAATAGATAATTGGTGAAGTTAATTAACAGAGCTAGTTAAACTAATTCTCTACGCTGTGCTGTTGTTGGGATTATGACTACTGCCATGGGATGAAGCTTTGGTTGTTGCTTTCACTGATTGGCTGCTTTTGGGTTGTTATGGTTATGGTTTCTGTAACACATTACTTTGTAATGGGTGTTATGCTAACTACAACCTACTAACACAGATATAGAATATGCATACACGCACACACACGTACACACAAAGACGTTGCAGACAAGAACACTACACTGCACATGTAAGGACACCAAGGCTGTCTGTACATACACATGCAAACATACATATACATGCTAATGTGCACACATTTGCATGCACAAAGATGTACTGGATGTGTGTTTGTGTAGTTAGATTGTAGTTGGTGTGTGCGGCAATCAGGTTTAACCAGCATGGTGGAAGGAACATTTATTCCCCAAATACGTTCCCTTTCATTCCAGCTCGGTGACCTTGTGGTCAGAGTTTCCTCTGTGATAGAGGGAGGCCGTACATTCAATTTCCAAATGAGTCAAACCTTTGTCCTCATAAAAAGACCCAATATACTTCTGCTTGGCACTCAGCATTAAGGAGATTGGGGTTTAAGCAGCCGTGATGAAAGAGTGTCCTGAGCATGTAAAACTAAGCTGCTTCATGTCTCAGAAACAAGAGATCAGCTTCTTGTTTATGTGCCTCTTTGGCTTGTATTACACTTTCCACCTAAATGAGAGCAGCATTAGTTGCATGTTGCTGCTGTTGTTGTACCAGCCCCTGAATTTGATTTCAAGGGATTCATTTGTGATATTTCAGCTCATCTTGATTTCAGAAACTGCACATTTTGGGGGGTTTCTATATTGTCCTTTTGCTTTTAACTTTTTTAAGAAACATATTTAAGTTCACATGAAAGGACAGCCAGTGTCATTGTTGAGCTGTAAATAGTCAATGTGTTTGTGGTGCTCAAAGAAAATGATGATGAACTGGTTCAGCAGGCTCTCTGGGGATAAACCCCTCACCAGCTAAGCCAGAGAAGCTGCCATCCACTGAGTTGCAACATTATCGTGTGTCCACAGCACTGTGAATCATGAATATCAGAGCAGTGTCACACGCCACAGCAATAGGAGCCACTTAGCCAGAGTGGAATCTCTCCAGCCCTCTAATATTCCCCTGATTGTCAGCTGCTTTCAAGCCCGGTGGCAGGTAGAAAAAAAGGCCATTCACAATGACACACAGAAGCACGTACGTAAGACAGACACACATTATGCATAAATACAAACCGTGACAACCAGCATTTAATATTCATGACAGATATCAGACAAATACTCATTAGAGACTGTTCATACATACTAGGTAATAAAACCAGCTGTGACAGCCTTAAGTACCATTTTAACTTAAAATCATGTTTTGTGTCATATGTAGCCAAGTTTAGGTGGAGTTTTTTAAATTATTATATTTTTACAAACTTGTGTTTACATAGATGAAAACAAGCTGAGAGGTTCTTCAATCAGCAGAGAAAATGTGGATGTTGTGGCTGGAGTAGGATTTAATTTGGATTAATTTATACTGTCCAGTAACTTGTTTGAGAGTTAATAATCCATATCTCTCCTGGAAATTAAAAATTCGGAGAAATTTATGACGGGGAATTTCTGAAAATGTAAAAATTGCTGAAAGTTCCTTTTTCTGGATGTTTTCTTACATACCAGAATTTTGTTGTTTACTGTTTGCCTTCATTTTGTGACATTTGTGTGACCAGACACTTAGAGCAAGAGATGAGACGAGACACAATATAGGGTTCACGAGATCGGGACGGGATGAGATTTTAACACTGTTCTTTAGAAATTTTCAATGCTGAATTATATGAAAATTTTGAGCATTAAACATTTAAATTCTGGTCATTTTTCTGCACCAATTTCTGACTGTTGAGCATCAATTTATAGCGGAAATATTTTTAATTATGTAAAGGGAAACACAAAATTCAGGCAGGTGACATAAAAATATGGTGATATAAAAATATAACGGAATATAATGCCTTCTGTATTGCTTTCATATATGTTTTCTCCTGTAGATAAGCGCAGGCAGGATTTAGTCTTCCCTTCTCTTTTGTTTAGCTGTTTGCGTTGTTTTCTGTACTTGTGTTCTTGTGGACTTCGTATAGCCAGGTATCCCAGAATGCATTCTGCCAAAAAACGGAAAAGTCGGGGGAGAAAACTCACAACTGTAAGTTATAATACTGCTGTTATTGTGTCACAGAATGCAGTTTTAAGAGTTTTTTATGCATGAATATAGTTGTTTAAACTTCAAATACGTGGTCATTTTCTCAAGACAGAGCTGATTTGAAAACTTGCTACGACATTTTCGGGCGCCTGCTAACGAGTACAGCCGTCATCAAGTCCGCTGCTGTTCCAATTGCTGAATGAATGACTGTGTGCTCCCATTCCTGGGAGTTTGTACTCCAGAGCCGAACTAGCCGAGTCCGAGCTTTAAAGTACAGAAGTCTGAACTTGGAGAACTCGGTATTGAGAAACAGCATTTGTTGGCTTGCCACATGTGGAAGGGCAGAGAGATGTTCTCTCCCCACCTCATGGCTTTCCCCATAGGCACCTGGAAGGGCAGGTCCCAGGACAGAGCCATATTGCCAAACATAATTTACTGCAGAGCAAATATCAGTTTCTTTGATGAAAGTTGTCCTGATTGAACTAAACATTTTCAAGCCTATTTTGTACATCTGAACATAAGTTTTGCAGCCTAAGCACATCCTTTTATCTTGTCTGCTATATCGCTACTTGAATATTGAAGTAAGAATTCTAGTTTACTAAATCATGCATGAGAGACTGTGTGCTGTATACAGAACACAGTGGCTACACAGTCTTCCCGGCCCCCTTGCTAAAGCACAATGAGCAAGCAGTATCTTTGCCTTAAGCTATGGTGCTTCACCCTAGCAGAAGCTCATATCTAATAGAGCTGAGTTATAATACATTGGGTGTCAGCTTTTATCTGCCTCCCCCTCCTTCTCCACCTCTTTATTTGGCTTTCAGTGCGCTGGAGAGCTTTGTATCCCATGGTTTAGATGGCCTGCACAATGGTAGCTGAGAAAACTGCAGTTTAACTGTCTCCTCCTGATCTCTCCCAAGTAATTGTTTAAGGACAATTGGAGAAACAGCAGCCGGCTTCTCAGGGACAAGAGACACATGAAGAGCCAGCAGTTCAGATAAATTGTCTGCACAAATTTACACCTCTGGGCATTTTTCAGATGAGTATGGCAGTGAGGACCAACTGCTGGTGAGTGGAAGGTCGACCTGAGTGTCACCTCACAAACCCCAATGCAGAGCAATTCATAACTGCAGGAAAAGAGGCAAAGTTGTTGCCTCATTGCATGTGTGTTGTTAAAAAAAGTATGTTTACTGGCACGCAAGTACCTGCATCTCAGTGTAAGAGATAACATGCCATTTGTTAAGTGCTTTTATCAAAAGTGGCTCACATTACCGTAAGTGCATACAGTTTAGCATTGCTGACCTCAGACAACTGTGGCTCTGTGTGTAGAAATAGACTTACTCAAAATAAACTTTTTTAACTTAATCATTTACTTTATATTAGTGTAAATAACATTTTAACTATAGAATATAGTGTACATTGAAAAAATCTTAAGAACGTTTAAGAGAGATCTTAAATTTACCTTGGACTATGTTAAAATTACTTGCAAACCCCACCAACTCACTGTAGGGTTTCAAAAACCAAAACATGTTAATTTAAAGGGGAAAGTTTGTTCAGATGTTTTGATGGCTCTCAGACGAGATGTTAAGATAAATATGCACTTGTAATTAAATTAGTTTTGAATGCTTTTTCATTTAGCTTTCTATGTTAATATACCCACCAACTTCCAGCTGCAGCATGCAGGTGTCAATAGTTTAGAGCACTTATCAGCTGTAAATGACACTATTTCTTACCAAATGAAATAAAAAAAACAAGGGTGTGAAAATAGAATTCATTATCTTAAAAGTGACAGCAAAAAATCAGAGACTGATAGTGCCTGAATTCAAGACAGGTGTGAATGGATTTTATAATCATAAATTACTAATCAGTATTAAACGTTTTTCCTTATAATC